TTAGATAAATATATACACTTTATTGCACATACAAGAACAAACAACTTCAAACTAATGTGGGCAACTGCGGCCTTATCGCTAAGATGCGATCTCATCCAGACAACCTTCATACATAAAAACTTGCACTATATTATTATCAAATAATAAATAACGATATAGTTTACGTACATATATATTTGTATATAATATAACTATATGTAAATAAACTTATACTTACAAATAAATACGATGAATGTGAATGATGACCTCCGTGGTCAAGTGGCTTGCACACCGATTTTCATGGTGTCGCCATCTCTTTGTTCCCGGGTTGGATTCCTGGCCGGGTCAATATAGAAACTAACTTTTCTGTATTGTCTCGGATCTAGGTGCTTGTGGTACCTTCGTTGTTCTCGATTTCCATAACACAAGTGCTTTGGCTACTTACTTTGGAGTCAGAGCAACGTATGTGACTTGTCGACTTATGTCTCAGGGTGACAGGCGCAGTGTCAGTACCCCTAAGATCTTTGCGATTTAAAACTCTGAGTGGCACTGCAACTGTCTTGGACAGGCGTGTAGCTTGCCATCAGGCGCACGATTTGTTCGTCCCGTCACTTAATATTATTAAAATATATATATATATATATATATATATATATATAACGTACAGATACTTGTTGCACACTACGACCGTATCAGATAGTAGTTTATGTGACTGTTACATAATGAAAGGCATTAAAACGCGTGTGGGTCCATAAAAACGTCACACGAGTGTTTCAATGCCTAATTATGTACAGTTACATACAGTGCTTTATCTAAACACATATTATAAGCTCTCTATGATGTGTTCAGGAACCGCATGTTACGACTGGCGAAATAGCGGCAAATAAAAACTTTTTCACTTCCCATGCTCTTAAAGTTCGTATTTATGCTGGGTGTAGGCTGCATAAAATAGGATTTATGCTCTAGTGCATAAAATAGGATTTTATGCTCTAGAGCATAAAATAAAAAACCATCACATTAAATATTTCTAATTGTTGTAATTTTACATTCAATTTTAATTAAATAATCGTTTATTTGTAATATTGCCATTTAATTTCCTCGCAATCGAAGTGAAAAGCAGAGTGTATAACTCGTTCATAAAACCCATTTTAACATGACGCGTTTTATGCACTTGTTGTACAATCTACTATTCTCACGCATGTCACACAACCGTAGTTTTTATTTAATTCATAGACAAACTAGATTATGAATTAAAATTTGAATTTTGCATTTTTTTTTATTTGTATTTTGGGGAATTTGAACTCTATTCATTAGGCAACAACATTTTAACGCCTCTGAATAATACAACCGCGCGGTCGCCGGGCGGCCGCTGCGTAGAGCAAATTCAAGCCAGACTCGTCCGCGCGCCCGGGACGCTCATGTAAGTTAAAAAGTAAAATCAAAATAAATAGAGCGTATTTTGCCATGGGAGTTAGATTCACGCGGTCGCTGCCCGGCGGCAACGAGGTCTCCGCGCGACGGCCCCACGGCGGCCACGCGGGGCGAGCGCGATGATATTCATGTCGAAGTAATGCGCCCTAAAGGAGTCTCTAAAATACTCTGAGCAGGTGAAACGACGTTTCAGTAGATTATCCATTTTTAGTTGTGTCACCGGGAAAGCAAAAACGTTTGTTAATGGTATGGCAGAGTGCGAGAGTAATATAGAACATTGTAGAGAAAGGTGAGAACGTGCTCCTCACGGCGCAGCTTGATGGGGAGCCTCAATGTAACATAATTATAGTCTATTGTTTCTTTGTTTCCAGGTACATATTCCTAGCAATATACACAGCAGAGATGATAATAAAATGCATAGCAAAGGGCTTCATACTGAACAAATACACCTACCTGCGGAACCCTTGGAATTGGCTGGACTTTGTGGTGATCACTTCTGGCTACGCCACCATCGGCATGGAGGTCGGCAACCTGGCTGGCTTGAGGACCTTCAGGGTGCTGAGGGCGTTGAAGACTGTTTCTATCATGCCCGGTAAGTGAATGTTATATAGCTAATTATATAACAAATGAGCATTAAATGCAAAACATTTGATTTATATAACAGCAACTAATTTTAACAACATAAGATGGTGACGTCGTTTTATGTAATTATTATGGATGTAGCTGATGTACTGTGCAGTTAAAGACTGCATTAAAAACAATAGAGACACTTAGAGTGGCACACGGCGGCTTTTAGCAGCGATGCAAACGCGCGTCTATGAACCGCGCGTTTGTATCGCTACAATTGCAATGTATATTGCATCGATGCAAACGCGCGACTGCATCGATACAAACGCGCGATAGCATCGATGCAATCGCCTATAAATCCCAAATGTAGCGATGCAATGGTACGTTTGTATCGATGCACTCGCGCGCTTGTATCGCTGCTTAAAACCGCGCGCGTGTGTAAAGGTAGACTATTAGCGACTGCATCGCTATTGCATCGCGTTTGCATCGCTACTAAAAGTCACCGCATGTAACCGCTCTTAAAGAAGTTTGTCTTACACAAAGTTCAGCTTGTCGTATTAATGGCATACACTATAATGCTTGCCATTGTGTTAAAAGGATTTGCCAATAGGCGTAAAGTACTCCAAAGTACCAATTGTTGCTCAGGACGCGCCAGAAATACAGGAAATGAATGTTACGTCGTGCGGGGAAGCTTTTTTATTATACTAAGTTAACGGGACGGACAGTCGTGCGCCTGGTGGTATGCGACAGTGCTAGAAATTTTAAATCACAAAGATCTGAAGGGACTGTCACTGCGTCACCCTGAGCGTGACAAGTCCCATGTGCCTGTATTTTACCTGCACCCCCTTTAAAACCGAAACGTAGTAATAGTCATATTAGCAGTACTTCTCTGGACGAATACTTTCACAAGACACGTGAAAGTATTCGTGCTCGCCTATACACAAAGTATTTGAATCAAATCAGTCGAATAGATTGCGGTTACATCCCAACAGCCATTAACGCAAGGAGATAAAGACTGGTATATTAATGAGTACATCTTTTACTAAAGGAAACTGTCTACAAATTGGTAAAAATCCAACAGTTTCAAATGCAATAATAATAATAACCATACCAACACATAACTAGATACAGATACATCTATTTTATTATTTTTATATCTTTTTTATTTGTTTATTATTACATCTTTTTAAATTAGAAACTACGACCAATCATTGCCAAGATTTCATAGTGTTTAACATTATTCTGATAGTAGTCAAGGCTTAAAGCTTTCCTGTTGTTTTTTCTTCCATGGTTGAAACATTTCAAATGCGCTTGTAATACGATACAAACAAGCTTCGAATGCGTGCTCACGTTTGTATAATTTTATATGGGCGTTTGAATCGATACAACGATACATAAACGCGTGTAAAAATACAGTGTATGTATACGCACAGGCACTTAAAGAAAAGTTACAAGGTACAATGTAACAAAAAGGTTTGAAACAGTTGATTTGTTTCGCCATTCGAGATGTAAGGGTCCGTATAGAATAAATTGAATACAATAGAAAGCATTGAAACGCCACAACACAAAAATACACAAAAAGAAAGAATAAACAAAAAACAAACGGGAAAATAAAACAGCGAGGCAAACATTTAAAACAAACACGCAATACAATTTAAAATACTGTCATTTATGTGGCTGTGGCGTACGGAAAAGGATCTCATTCAGCCACTGTCGAAAGTAGGCTGTGATGGTGGTTTTCAATGGACCCTACAGCTGAATGAGTAAAGGACGCGTGTGTCGAGAAAATACATTACGTAAATTGTGTTCTTGTGGTACGCGATCTTGGGTATATTGAAAACTTTTACAAGGTTGTTTGTAAAATACTTACAATTTCGTAGGTCTTGATTACTGCTACCTTACTAACAAGCACAGATCTAAAAAGTGTCCGATAGTAAAACAAAAGCTTAAAAGTTTATTCTTGATAATTTTATTGTTTTATAAAATACAAATGACACTGTACATACGGAAGAAAAATGAAGTGAGAATACAAAATAATAACGTTTACATTAAAATAAATAAAAATAAGATTTATACTATCAATTATAATAACATCTTTTAGCATCGACTTAATCACAACCTCACTCAACTTTTATCGAAAAAAATCGAAATTAAACAAACTATATTTAATAAATAAATTCAAAGTTACAAATATACAAGAACGCAAACTCAACTTCGAACAAATAAAAACCTGTATTATAACAAGAAATGAAAATAATTTATTGAAAAAATGTCAGTCGACGATTTTTTATTTTCAAATTGGACTTAAAATAGAAAACAAAAATAACCGGTCAGACTTAAACTTAATACCCAAAAACATTATTTTTGGGGAAATTTTGCTAGGGTTCTACTGAATGTCGGTATGTGTATTAACTTCATTCGAACTCGCTCGACTGCCTTGTTTTAAAATCAATATTCAATTTTTTTTTTTTTTTCATAAAGAAACGGGATATCTTCTCCATTTTTTACTCCTTTCCAGGGAGACTGATGAGATGAGAGTTATGATCCACTTAATTTCAGAAAATTTATTTGTGTAGGTTTTTACCATAGATATGGTCAAAATGACCATATCGAGGTGACACGCCTACAAACATCGCCACAGTGACATGGCGATCATTGTACATACAAGATCTCTCGTTAAACGTGAAAATGCCAAGTTGTAGCGATACACCTTGTAAAAATTGGAGTGAAAACAAAAATTTTAAAACCAGTGAGATAACATTCCACCAGCTATTTGCATTTTTAGTTACTATTTCTATTATTATTCAATGTTTTCTTTTTGTCTCCATAGAAATTTCTAGACTCAAATATAGTGATGTTCATTTACGAAGACTGATGTTTATCGACAATACATTTTTACTGAAATGTTTGAATTTCTTACTATGATTTTTGTAATTAAAGTCCCTAAAATATCGAAGCGAAAAGCATTCACGTTAAATTGATTTCTTTTATTTTATTATTATTATTATTACTAAACATTTTTTTTTTTTCGAGTAACTTTAACACAACTTATGTTCCGGACAATCGTTTCAATTTCATGTCAATTTGGATGTTGCTGTTACTTGAAGAAAAAATTATGTGTTTTAGGTATTTAAGACATTTAAATTCCATTATACTCGTAGATTAAACGTAGTGTTTTTAATTTTTAAGTTTTTCCAATGAGTTTAAAATAAAAAAAGGTTTGGATTGAAGCTGCAGGAAAATCGAAAGATTGGTTTTCTTATTACTATTTCTGATTTTGTTTCAATTTCCATAGCAAATGCATTTAAAAAATAAATAAAATAAAATCGGCTTTATTTTACATGTGCATGCAAAATAAATTAGAAACAATTATAGAAAATTACATAAATCCTTCATAAAAAAACAACATAATTTAATTTATTAAATTCGTTGATGGTTCGAGTTTACTCTTGACAGTGACAGCTTCACCAACCCGTGGTAACGTATAATGGTAAATTGACACTGGCGACGATCGCCATATTTTTTATATTATTCTTATAAAACTGACACTGGTCCAAGCTTAGTGGCCGCCATTAAGAAAATAATAATAATTTATATTAATATATTAATTTAGCAATACACCAGTACCAGTATAGATATAGTATGAAAAATTGAATATTTTTTTTAATATTAAAAACAGCCACATGGTTTCAAGCTATCGATTAGGTAGGACCACATCACTCGTTGACTAGCGTCAGTTTAAGGTTAATAAGGTTAACAATTCACGGAGCGGTTTCCATCCGCACCCGCCGGTGCTGTTAGACAGCGGTTTTATTTCAATACTCACGACCCTGCAAATTTGTGCGGGCACGTAGTTGCCGCGGTTGCGGGCACGAAACCGTTGCGATAGTGGAATGGACCGCGAAGTTAGTGGGAGTTAATTGCAATTCGCGCGGTTAATAGAGAACTCACCCTGCGTGCACCTGCACCACATTGCCTGAACCGACCGCCAAAGTGTGCGACAACGACCACCAAGCGCGCAGGTCATCGCGCCCTGCGCGGTTCTACTGGTACCCCGCCGCGGCAACCGCGAGCAACCGTCACCACTACAGGCGTAAAACGCGCCGTGAAATGTGCGACTAATTTTACATACTTAACTGTTACATTCTACAGATGCCGAGGCCCCGCGGCAGACGCGGGTGAAAACCGTTCCGTGAGTTCTTAGTGTAACGAAAAATGAGTTTCTGCGCCATCTAACGTGTAATAGTTAGCTATTATATACTAGTAGTATTTTTATTAAAACGCCACCTGTTGGTGAATGGCTGAACCAGGATGACAAAATACTGAAATATTGTAATATAACTCTTATTCAAGTGAATGTAAGTTTAATTTTGTAAAATTTTAAAATTGTTTTAAGTCGTTTTCACGTTTTAAGCCCTACCCAATGAAAATCTTTAAGTTATGGTAGTAGATAATAGAGCGTAAAGTTTGAATTGCACACAAGCTAAAAAGTGGCGACATCGGCACCCGATCTTACATAGCGTCATTACATATCTCCCCTTTTTTTCATATCTATGGTTTTTACTGTTCAATCTGTTCTCAGTTATTTGGAAAAATACGATTATGTTACAGTTTTTATATTGAATTGAATACCGCAATAGCCTCTGATTATTTTCACTTTTAATTTCATAATAAAAATGAATTTATTTACAAATATTTGGTTATATTAATTTCTTTAATCAAAATCGAGCTGGTTAAATTTAAGTTTTAATTTTTGCTTTTCTATAACGTTGGATTCGCGGTTGCGTGAATTATTGTCTATAGTCACTTCATTATTTGATTTAGAAGCTATCGCTATCTATTTCTCTTTTACTACGATTTCTTGACTACGTAACGCTATGAATGGATAAATAAATATATATACAAAATGTAACATATATAAAAAAAATTAAAGCAATGCCATAAAACCACTACATTTTCATACACTCATCCACGCCGACGATATATAGTAAAATCAAATTTGCATATTTCTCCAAAAAAAAAACA